CTTTGAATAGTCACTACATGAATGGTTGTAAGTCAAGGGCTACCAGTATCTTGGAATGGTTACTGTCTTTGCAATACTACATTCGAACCACTGTGCCCCCAGGACTCCTATCTTTCTGTACTATATCAAATTGGATACAATAAGAATGGTTCTGATGCCTCAGGAATATTCTTTTTTTTTTAAATATACTTTATTGATTTTACAATTAAAATAAACCAACAACACACACATAAATGCAAGAGAGAAAAAGAAGACAAGAAAGAGGGGAAAAAAGAAAGAAAACAGTTAAAAACATTTTCAACTTCAACAGTTTGTGAGACCTCCTTTTTATCCTTATTTTGTACCATATACACAATTAATCCTTACATATATCTATATATATATCACTACTATAATTCTATCGTATCTTCTTTTGCCTTTTAGTGTGAAACCTATCTTTGATCTATCCATTTGTACCAGCAGTTCCAGCTGTCGTAATATATTGAAGTGTCTTTATCTTTTAATGTCAAGGTTAATTTGTCCATTTCTGCACAACTTGAAATGTTTTGAATAATCATCTCCTCTGATGGAACATGAGGCTGTTTCCAACATTGTACAAAAGCCAATCTGGCCGCTGTCAAAATATGTATTATTATATATTTCACTTTTTTTTAGTTCTTTGTCAAAGATCCCTAATAGAAAGGATTGTGGTTTAAATTCGATCTGTTCTCTTGTCATTTTCTCCAGCCAATTTTTAATTTTCTGCCAATATTTTTGAGCTTCTGTACAAGACCACCACATATGGAAGAAAGTTCCCTCTGTTTTTTTTTTTGCATTTCCAGCAGTTCGGACTCATATTGGGGTGCATCTTCGCTTATCTCGAAGGAGGAAGGTGCCACATGTAAAACATTTTTTCTTTGTACGCTACCGATTTTGTGATTTTGTTATTTCTACCCCAGACCTTTTCCCATTCTGTTAAGGTGATACTATGTCCTATGTTCCTACTCCAGGCTATTCTTATTATATAATTATATTTAGTTTCTTAGTATGCTTTCAGAAAATTCTTGTTGAAATCCTAATTCTCATTTACTGATTCATTGATTTTTGCAAGCAAATCCTCTTGTGTCTGAGCATTTCTCAGGGTTGAGTCTCTTGTGTCTAAATAAATTTGGCTCTTTGGCTGAAAATAATCCAGCAAGCTGAAAATAAGTAATGTATATCCTTGTGAACTCTTGAAAATGTTCTAAGATCCCATCAAGCTTTCCTTCCAATCAGAAAACTGATGGCTTTTATCCTGTATGTGTCCTCTTGTCTTTAATTAATAGCAAAGTTGTGACTGAAACACTGACCACAGTTTGGGCATCTGAATAGCTTCTGATCTGTGTGCAAACTGACATGATTTATTAGATTAGACCTACTTGTGAAAGCTTTCCGACAACTGGGACATTCAGTTCCCTATTATTCCACCAGGTGGGAATGCCAACTAAAACTTTTCCCACAATCCAAGCACTCATCCTGTGTGAATCCTCTGGTGTCTCACCAGGTCAGAATTCCAACTGAAAGCTTTCCCACAATTTGGGCACTCATAGGGTTTATTTCCCATGTGAGCACTCTGGTGTATCACCAGGTTGCCATTCTGACTAAAACTTTTCCCAAAATCGGAACACTTATATGGTTTTTCTCCTGTATGAGTCCTCTGGTGTCTCTCCAGGTTGGAATTCTGATTGAAACATTTCTCACAAACTGAACCCTCATATGGTTTCTCCCCTGTATGGGTCCTCTGGTGTACGAGCAGATTGGAATTCTGCTGGAAACTATTCCCACAATCCGGACACTCATATGGTTTATCACCCATGTGAGTCCTCTATTGTTGCACATGGTTGGAATTTCAACTGAAATGTTTCTGTCCTGTGTGAGTCCTCATGTGCGTCACAAGGTTAGAATTATTATTGAAACTTTTCCCACAATCTGGACATTCATACGGTTTCTCCCCAGTGTGAGTCCTCTGGTGTTGCACAAGGTTAGAGTTCTGACTGAAACTTTTCCCACAATCGGGACATTCATATGGTTTCTCGCCCGTGTGAGTCCTCTGGTGTTGCACAAGGCTGGATTTATTATTGAAACTTTTCCCACAATCCGAACACTCATATGGTTTCTCCCCAGTGTGACTCCTCTGATGTATCACCAGACAAGATTTCTGACGGAAACTTTCCCCACAATCTGAACACTCATATGGTTTCTCACCAGTGTGAATCCTCTGGTGTATCACCAGATTAGACTTGTGGAGGAAACTTTTCCCACAGTATAGACACTCATATGGATTCTCCCCAGTGTGAGTCCTCTGGTGTATCACCAGGCGAAAGTTCTGACTGAAACATTTCCCACAATCTGAACACTCGTATGGTTTCTCGCCCGTGTGAGTCCTCTGGTGTATCACCAGATTAGACTTCTGACTGAAACTTTTCCCACAATCCAAACACTCATATGGTTTCTCTCCTGTGTGAGTCCTCTGGTGTTGCACAAGTCTGGAATTTTTATTGAAACTTTTCCCACAATCCAAACACTCATACGGTTTCTCCCCTGTGTGAGTCCTTTGGTGTATCACCAGGTAAGAGTTCTGAATGAAACTTTCCCCACAGTCTGGACACTCATATGGTTTCTCTCCTGTGTGAGTCCTCTGGTGTATGACCAGATTGTAACTTTGACGAAAACTTTTCCCACAATCTGGACACTCATATGGTTTCTCGCCCGTGTGAGTCCTCTGGTGTTGCACAAGGCTGGATTTATTAGTGAAACTTTTCCCACAATCTGGACACTCATACGGTTTCTCTCCTGTGTGAGTCCTCTGGTGTTTCACAAGGTTAGAATAATTATTGAAACTTTTCCCACAATCTGGACACTCATACGGTTTCTCCCCTGTGTGAATTCTCTGGTGTATCATCAAGGAAGAGTTCCGACTGAAACTTTTTCCACACTCTGGACACTCAAATGGTTTCTCTCCAGTGTGTGTCCTCTTGTGTATAACTAGCGTGGCATGCTTACTAAACTTTTTGCCACACTCTGGGCACTGGTAGTGCTTTTCTCCATTATGGGTTCTTTTATGCTCAAGAAGTTGGGAAGTGTAGCAAAAAACTTCACCACATTCGGAGCATTTGTATGGTTTTTCACCAGTGTGGATCCTCTGATCGATAATCAGCTCTGATTTGTAATTTGTGCTTTTCTGACAATATGAATATCTGTGGAGCTTTTCCGCCACTGATCGTCTTAGTTTCTTGAGGAGATCTCTTCTTGGATCATTCAAGCTGTTTCTTTCCTCACAGGGTGAGGCCTGCATTATTGTCTGGAATGAGAGCTTCCTCCCCACAGACTTCTAGATATTTCCTCTTTTTCTGAATCTGGAAATATTCCACCTTTATTTTTTGATATAATATTTCCTTGAGTTCCGCACACAATACTCGTTTATCAGCTCAAACTCTTCTATTTTTTTTTCTTGTCTCTTCCTGGCTGGGGAAGAATTTTGTAATTATCTGGAGGAAAGGGAAAAGAGGTTGTTTCCCACATGTACTGGATTCACTTTCCTTCTTAAAGCTGCTTCTGATTCACTGCTGTCCAGAATGGTTTTTTTGGCATTTCCTTTGTCTGTAAGATTTACAAAAAAAGAGATACTTTAATTACTCTTTATAATACTGTTGCAAGATGTGAAAATAAAAGAAAAAAAGCATACATTTCAAATATTCACACAATCATGGAATTCTATTGTTGACTCGTGCAAATCACAGATGGTCAGCACTGCAAATTTTTATTATCAGATAGATACCTAGAAATACTAAGGATACTAAGGATACCTAGAAATACTAAGATATACATATATTCACAAAAAATACAGAAACACACCCGTCTATCTGTATGTACCATATGTATGTATCAGTGGTGAGATTCAAATAATTTAACAGGTTCTATGGGCATGGCTAGGTGGTCATGTGACTGGGTGGATGTGTATGTGGTCATGTGTCTGGGTGGGCATGGCCAACTCAATGTCACCCACATCAAGGAGTGCCTCGCCTGGCCCCAGGCTTTGGTTGCAAGAACTTCCAGCAGCCTTCCCGGCCACACACTTCCTTGTCCCGCTGCCCCATGTGAGGCGGGAGGCCCAACAGAAAGCTCCTGGTCAGGGCAAACAGCCCTTCACGACCTAGCTAGCCCTTCCCGGGGAGCAAAGCATGGTTTGGACAAACTGATCTGTCCCGAAGGCAAGCTGCAGACCAGCGGCAGTGGCGGCAGAAAGAAGAAAGCAAGTTCCAGAACAGCGGTGGTGGCAGTGCTCCGGGAGGGCAGGCGGATTTCCCGGGGCTGCACATGCACACTGCAGTGGAGAAGCAGTCTCAGCCCAGCACAGCGTCTCCCACAAGGGCTGCCCACCCAGCTGCTGGAAGGGCTGGCCTGGAAGCGGCGCATCCTGTCACGGGCTGGATGTGGGACTCAAGGCGGAGGGGAAGGCAAGTGGGTGGCATCGCCCGGAGACTGCTGTGTCCCACTGAGGCGGCTCTTTGGCCGAGCACAGGGGCCAGTGTCCCTCCCCTGCTGACAG